GCTGTCGTCAGTTCGTATCGTGAGAGTTTAGGTTAATTCCATAAACGGACGCAAACCCTACAATTAATTTATACTTAATATTTGACTTCCTGATAAAGGATTTCTTAATGGGACTAAGACAAGCCCTTATGGCCCTTATGGAGTGGGCTACAAACGTGCCACAAAAACTTTTACAATGTGATGCAATACACTTCAGTCTTGAAGAGGTTCTCCTTAACAAGATTTTAAAGATAATGTGGAGCTAATCAGCAAAAAAAGTTAGAGACGAATTATTGCCTGCAATTCGGCAATATGAAGAAGGAATTTCGAGTAATCGTTGATCACAAGTCGCAACGGTGAAATTATAATCTAGGATGAACTAACTGTCTGTCAATTGGAAGAAGCTTTCCTTTTAGGAAGAAGCTGTGTTTTAGGTTATTTACATTAGTGGCATAGCCCTTATTACTAGAGCTTCGAATTAATTTTCGTACTAGTTTAAGCTGTTTTTAATACTCTCTTTGCTTATTGATTACTTAGGTGATTAAATAAGATGAAGTAGAGGTATTTAATTACAACTAATGATCCTCTCTCTATTTATAGAGGAAAGGAAGAACTTAAACCCTAACTACAGTTTCCAGTATTAGTAAGTAACATCTAATAAGTCATAGCAGGGTAGCCGTACCGGAAGGTGCTGCTGTAATATAAAAAAAATTAATAAAGTTAACCCCTTATCCTTTAATACGCCCTAGCCCTCGCACCAATCCCATACGGGTGAGGTGAGGGACCGGGACAGATGGCAAGGGAAGGAATAATTTTTATCTTGTAACTTATAGCTAGTATTTATTAAAAGAAGAAAGATAGGCGTAATCCTTAATCTATTGGTGGAGGAACCTACTTAAAAAATAGTGGGGAGGGACCGAAACAATATAAGTAGGGATATAAATGAATACATTATTTATCAAAAACCTGTAGATCGGCAGGGCTTGTACCTTGCTAGTGCATAAATTGAAAAGTCCTAGTTATAAAAGTGGCAAAGATTGGACACAAGTTATGCCCTCCCCTCACCCTAATGGGGAGATAAATAAATAGCCTCGATAGCTTAGTTGGTTAGAGCACTATAGTGAAGTTATAGCTACGAATGTTCGACTCATTCTCAGGGCATTTTATTTTACAGGCTAACGCCATATTAATTCTATTATAGCTTTTTTTTGCCTAGCGGTATCTTACCGCTTGACTAGAAAGGTTGTTTAAGGATTGATGACTAAAATACTTTTATAATAAGAGTATTTTTACCCCTTACGGGAGAAAATGTGATTTTAATAGGCGATTCCAATAGGTATCTGTATAAGGATATTCTAAAGGATGATAGTCAATTACATTCTGAAGGTCTTGAATACATCTATATATATGTGTTCAAGATACTTTATAGAAAAATTAAGACCTAATCATGTAAGGCTCTCGCCTTATTTTAAATATGATTACCGGGCCTAATCTAACTAAGGAAATAACTGTGTTATTTCAAAAAGGTGCCGCTCCCTATCTTTATCTCCCTCACCCGTAAGGGATATGGGAGGCGAGGGTGAGGGTCGGCTAGAAAATTATTCTTATTTACAAGCTAGGTGTATATCAGCTTGCCCCTCATCTCCTTAATGCCTATGGCTAGGGGCGAGGGAGAAGAAAAACCTTGCATTAGAAATAAGGTTCGGATAGGTCTAATAATAAAATTAAAAAATATATAACAAAATTGGAACGTTGACTTTATTCAACTAATGCTAAAGACATTGGAACTCTTTATTTAGTATTTTCATTATTTGCTGGTATGATCGGTACAGCTTTTTCTGTATTAATTAGATTAGAATTAGCAGCACCTGGAGCTCAGTATTTAAATAATGACCATCAATTATATAACGTTATAATTACAGCTCATGCTTTCATTATGATTTTCTTCATGGTAATGCCAGGTTTAGTAGGAGGATTCGGTAACTATTTATTACCAGTTCAAATCGGAGCACCTGACATGGCTTTCCCTAGATTAAATAATATCAGCTTCTGATTATTACCACCTTCATTAATCCTATTATTATTAAGTTCATTAGTAGAATCAGGAGTTGGTACAGGTTGAACAGTATATCCACCATTAGCTGGAATACAATCACACTCAGGAGGTTCTGTAGATTTAGGTATTTTCTCACTTCACTTAGCTGGGGTATCTAGTTTATTAGGGGCTATGAATTTCATAACAACAGTTTTAAATATGAGAGCACCTGGTATGACTTTACATAAATTACCTTTATTTGTTTGAGCTATATTTGTTACAGCTATACTATTATTATTATCATTACCTGTATTAGCTGGTGCAATTACAATGCTTTTAACAGATAGACAATTTAATACATCATTCTATGATCCAAGTGCAGGAGGAGACCCTATCTTATATCAGCACTTATTCTGATTCTTCGGTCATCCTGAAGTTTATATCTTAATTATACCTGGATTCGGTATTATTAGTCATATAATTTCACAATTCTCAGGTAAACCAGTATTCGGTTATTTAGGAATGGTATATGCTATGTTCTCTATTGGTATATTAGGATTCATAGTATGAAGCCACCATATGTTCAGTGTAGGTTTAGATGTTGATACAAGAGCCTATTTCACAGCTGCTACAATGGTAATTGCTGTTCCAACAGGAATTAAAATCTTCTCATGATTAGCTACTTGCTACGGTGGTTCATTAAGATACACAACACCATTAATCTTCGCTTTAGGATTTGTATCTTTATTCACTGTTGGTGGATTAACAGGAGTTATGTTAGCTAATGCTTCAATGGACGTAGCTCTACATGATACATATTACGTAGTTGCACACTTCCACTATGTGTTATCTATGGGAGCTGTATTCGCTCTATTTGCGGGATTCTATTACTGAACTCCAAAAATTGTAGGATTAACATATAACGAATTATTAGCTAAAACACACTTCTGAGTTTTATTCATAGGAGTTAACTTAACATTCTTCCCTCAACACTTCCTAGGTCTTGCTGGAATGCCAAGAAGAATACCAGACTATCCTGATGCATATGCACAATGAAATTATATCTCTAGTTTCGGATCTATCGTATCAGTAGCTGCTACTGTTTTATTCGTATATATCTGCTACGATATCTTCGCAAGTGCTAAAAATAGTGCTCAAGAAGATTCAGCTGTATTGGTAAATGAACCAGGATCAGATATTGAAAATAAAGAATTAACATGAGCATACCCTGGATACTTAGTAGGTAACATGGAATTTAAAAAATATCCTAGATACAGTTCATCATTAGAATGAAGTCTACCTACTCCTACTCCATTACATGCTTATGATACTCTACCTGCTCAAACTTATGCTAACTAATTTACTTTAACTGCATACGAGCAGTCCCTTCTCCCTTATGGAAGGGCGTGGGTTAGAACCTTTGCTACAAACTACCTTAACCCTCACCCGTAGGACGGGGCTAGGTATAATACTCAGCATAGGATTTCATAACCCGACGCTATAGCCAATAGGGCCATACGGCACAGGGATTTTTAAAGCCAACCCTAGTCTTGCCTATTCTACGGTACATGCTAGTAGGGTTAGATTTATATAAAATTTTAAAGCCTCCGGACCTGGATGCATAGCGCAAACCAATTTAAGGTACTACCTCTAGTTTATTGTTAAGGCTCTCGGGGAAATATACCACCGTCAGCCCTATAACTAATAAAACTAGTTATTTTCCTGTGAAACGTAATAAATTAAAGATAATTTTTAGGTGTAAGCTAATTTTATCCCGCTCCCTCACCTCACCCGTATGGGATTGGTGCGAGGGAAGGGCTAGGACTGGCTCCACCACCCTTTTCGTTAAGGGTTTTGCTTAGGCTAAAGTACCGCTAAGCTATTGCATCGGTATAATAAGCAAGTGCCCCCTTCTACCATTAGGGTGGAAAGGCAGTCAACGTTATCTATAAGGATATAAGATTATAGTTATCCTATTTAAATTTCTTTATATAAAGAGAAACATATCAGGAATAAAATTAATAAATAATAGAATGAAAGATATCTTATTAAATTTATTAGCTTTAGGAGCAATATTATCTAGTGTATTAGTTATTACTTCTAAAAATCCTGTAATATCTGTACTATATTTAATTTCTGTGTTTATTAACACTGCTGGTTATCTTATATTATTAGGTATAGGATTTGTAGGTATAGCTTATATCTTAGTATATATAGGAGCTATAACTGTTCTATTCCTTTTCGTTATTATGATGATTAATATTAAATTAGTAGATATATTAGAAGTAGGTAGAGAATATACTAAAAATTTACCTTTAGCTTTATCTATTGGTTTTGTATTTTTATATGAAATAATCTCTCTTACAACAACAGGAGCAGGTTTAAATCCTATATCATTACAATTCCTTACATATCCTTTAGAATTATTAACTAATTTAAATAAATTATTTATTAGTCCTATGGATCTAGTATTATCTGGTCAAGCTCATTCTGTAGCTGATAGTATTAATACTGTTAATAGTGTATTAAATCCTAATGGATTAGACACTAGTTTCATTAATTTCTTACAAATAGAAATGTTAGGACAAGGATTATATACATATGGTGCTGTTTGATTAATTTTAAGTAGTATTATATTATTATTATCTATGATTGCTCCTATTATTCTAAGTACTCCTAGCAGATAATCAATTATCTATGATTAACCCTAATCCCTACTTTTTTCCTTTTCCTAGCCTTAGCCCTCTACCACAACCTTGCTATATAATCCTTGTCCCTTTAAGGATAAGGAGCTAGTCATTATATTTACATCTCTGGTTAGTGCAATTGACAAATTAAATACTAAATATAAAATTATTTATTAAAAGAAGAATATATGAGCCTTATTATTCATAGAACCTACCTTACAATATTCAAATAATATGAGGGACTTTACTTTAATAATGCAATACCTCAAGGCTTCCTGTACAAAGAGTCTCAACAAGCAGGTGTTATAGCATAGAGGTTATGCGGGGTACTGTTAATACCCACCACAGGGGTTCGAATCCTCTTAACACCTTATTATAAGGGTTTTAATTGCTTAGTATTAGGCTCTCACCTTATCCTAGCTAACGGTACCGGTCTCTACATACCGCTCAACGGCTACTTAATAAAGAGTAAGTATAATAACAAATCTCTACTATCTCGACCAACTTTTACAAAACCTACCTTATGCCTACCTAGCCTAGCCTTACGGATCCCTTAGGGCAAAGGAGAGGGTCAAGGAAGGCATAAAGAGGGGTAGAAACACTTTTATAATAATAGTAATTTTAAGGTCCTTTAGTGTAAGGGTAGCACAACAACTTTTCATGCTGTCAGTACCAGTTCGATTCTGGTAAGGACTATCTAAACCTTGTTTAAATAAAATTATATAGCATCCTGTTATTAGAGGTACGCCCTAGTTCTAGAGGGACAGGGGCCCCTTATCCCTTATGGGCGGGGGAGAAAAAGGCTAAGCTAGTCGGAATAGTTTAATTGGTAAAACAGTTTCCTTGTAAGAATCAGTAGGCGGTTCGAATCCGTCTTTCGATATTATAGCAGCGTATCCTTTGTACAATACTAAACCAGGATCAAATATTGTAGAAGTATATGACCCTAGCCCCAAAGGGAGGGTTATTCCTTGTCATATACCTTATGATAATTCCTAACTATCAAACCCTTCCATTGCCTTGCGGATCCCATAAGGCAAGGGGAGCGGCATAGGGAGTGGGGAGATAATCATCTCTCTGCCTGCCTATGCCTGGCACCATCACAGTATATAAATGAGTTGTAGTTTAATTAGGAAGAACACCATTTTTTGGTAATGGATATACCAGTTCGACCCTGGTCGACTCAGTTAATATTAAAGGTACACTATTTCTAGCCTTTTCCTCCCGATCCTTAGGCATAGGGACAACCTTGCGGAACCCATAGGGCCATTAATTATTTCTTCCTTCTATTAGGAAGCGGAGCCAAGCGGAGCCAAGCGGAGCCAAGCGGAGCCAAGCGGAGCCAAGCGGAGCC